CCTTGTCTGTAGAGAGAGAGGTGCCTAAACCACTAGGCTATAGGTCCCTATCTTCATTTTGTCTTATATTAATATATAATATGCTGTTTTTATTATATTTATAACTGTTTTTGATCTATTTTATTATTTTATCTTTTTAAAATTTTGTTGTATTTTTTTTTGTTATAATTTTGTAATTTTTAAAAAAGAGTTTTTTAAGCTGTTATTTATTTTATAACATACTATCTGATAGTAAACTTTAATTAATTTTTTTATTAACTAATCTACTTATTTTGTAATTTTATCAATAGGACTATATTATACAAAGTTTATTTAAATTTTAATAATAATTTTATAATATATCTCTAATACTTTAGTATACTTTTGTTTTGTTCTTAAACTTTTAATCCAAATAGTTTAGAAGAACTATAATCTGTTACTAATATATTAAATCCAGTCTGATATTTTGTTTAGTCTAATTGGTAGTATTTTTTATTTAGAGTTTTTATTTGTTTAATTTTTTTATATCAATATTCATTTTTATATTTAGTCTTTAAAGTTGTATTATAAAAATTCTATATTATTTTTTTATTTAAATCTTTTAAAATAAGTTTTTGCTTTCTTAGTTTTACAAATTTATATAAATACAAAAACTTATCTTAAGTTTGTATTATTTAGTACTAATTTACATCTTTCTGTATAATCAAGATTATACAAATACTTATAACTTGCTAATTATGCTGATATACTATAGTTATAAATATTTATTTTAACTAATTAATAAAAAATAATTGTTATAACACAGATGATTTTTCAAATTGTAACTCTAGTAGATTTTGAACTTATAACTTACTACTTTAAAGATAACAATTTATTTATTAGATTAAATTACTATATTTTATTTTATTAAAATTTAAAATAAGAAATATAATAACTTAGTAAAGTTAATAACTTGTTAATTTTTCAAGTAGTAGAATATAAGTTTAAAACTCACCAATAATAAAAATTTGAACAATTACAATATACTAAATTGTATTATAGTAATACATTTGTTCAATTAGTTAAAATAAGATATTTGTAATTATAATTGCATCAGCATAGCCAGCAAATTATAGGATATTTGTATAATTTTAATTATACAAAAAGATGTAAACCAGTACTAGATAATGCAAACTCAAAATAAGTTTTTGTTGCTATATAAATCTATAGAACTAAGAAAAAATAAAGTCTACTTAAAAAATTCTAAATAAAAAAGTTAACATAAATCTTTAATAATACTATTGTAAAATTTAAACCTAAAAAATAAATACCAATATGAAGAAATTGAATAAGCAAAAATCTTTAGATAAGAATATTACTAACCAGACTGCTGGGTTCAAATTGAAGAAAAAAATATTAGACTGAACTTGATATATCAAAAACAGATTATAGTTCTTTTAAGCTATTTAAATTAGAAGTTTAAGAACAAAGCAAAGATATACTAAAGTATAAAGATATATTGTAAAGTAGGTGCTAAGTACAGATAAACTTTATAAAATTAAGTCTTTTTTAATAATCTATAGAGTAAATAGATAGTTAATAAAAAAACTCTGAGTTTTACTATAGATGTTGTACTTTAAAATATATAACAGTTTGACTTGTGCTTTTTGGTTCGTGCCAGTTAAATCATTGTGAAGGTATTGCTTCTGGATGATTTGAACTTTAGTACAACTGGGGTTGGAACCTTGAGTTCATCTGACTGATTGTTTGGTAGAAGCTCTCCTAGTTGAGCAAGACCATAAAAGGCTGACAGAGTGATAACTCAGAACAGAGTGTCTATATTGTTATTTATGCTTAGTTGTTGTTGAATTTATGAAAGGTATTGTTGGGTAATGTGAGATTTTTGGTTAATAGGCTTGTGAGTATGTGTGGCTTCAATGGTTTTTAGAAGTTGCAACACTAGCAGGTCAGAATAAATAGAGCTACAGTCATGGCAGTTTCTTGAGTAGTGATATTTAAGGGCTAAGAGGTAAGTTATAATAGTAGGAGGTGTGACAGTCTTATGAAGCAAAGTTATGTAATTTATTAGAGAGTCTTGTAATACTGGCCATACAGATTCATCATAGTTGGTCCATTGATTGGCTGTAGCGAGGGTTTCATATCATTTGATTATGGCTTCATATGCTTTGTTGTAGGGTTGTTTTATGTTAAGAAGTTGAGCAGTTTGGATATTTAGTAATAAACTTGTACCAAAATATTAGGAGTTGGTGTTATGAGGATAGAAAACTGTGTATTTGGATTGTCTTGTTGGTGTGTTGTCTATTGTTTTAAGGATAAAATAGGAGAAATTAGTTTTTTGTATAGGTTGGAAATGTTGGGATTAAAGTAGCATGCACTAGGGTTGTAAGTGATAAATTCTTAGTAGTCATTACAGAACAATAAGTCTGTATTTAGATTATGAATGTCAGGAATATGTTCAAGTTTTATGATGAAATTGCCATGCACTTGTATGGCATAAGCTAACCAATCAGGTCATTAATTTGGAGATTCTTGCAATATTTGGCATAGTACACCTTAGTATTGGATAGGTTGTTTGTCTATATTATAAGCTTTCTCCATTGCTATAATGAAGCAAAAGTACATGCTGCAATTAAAGTAATTAGTAGTTCTCTGGCTTGAATGTTCATTGAGTTCAGGTGAATGTTGTTCAACTAGAAAAAACTGTAAAATAGTTCTAAAACACAGCTCTTTCTACTAATGTTTGACATATCTGTAAAGAGATTGAGATTAGTTGATTGTATCCATTCTATATCTTGTAGTAAATGAATACTATGTCATTTTTTAAGTACTGAGATTCAACACTGAAGATCTGATTGCATTGGTTTGATTATTTAGAAGTGGAATTTTGGGTTCTTTGAAATCTCTTGGGCTTTGATAAAATGTTGAATAAAGGAACAGCCTTGTAGAATGATCTGACATGCTCAGACCAGCAATTCTACTATAGATTGCAATTTTTTTTGATAACATCATTTTTTGTGTAGCCATTAGGATATTAGAGTTGTTAACTGTCTTTGCTTTTTAGTTGGTATTAACATAAGTAGGATGTCTGTGTTTAATGTTATGTCAAGAAAAGTAACACTAGTGTAAGGGCCTTCTGTATTTTTATGTTTATAAAATATGTTTAAAATATTAAAAATGCAAATGAATTGGTGAAGTTTGTATTTGCCATCTGTGGAAAATATTATTAGAAAATTGTCTATATAGTGAATAATTGTTAGAATGCTCTGTTGGCATGCTACCTATGTTAAAAGATCAGCAAAATAGCAAAATATTCTTCCAGAAGCATGGTTTCCAAATGCCAGTACTTTGTTAAAATATAGATCATTCCTATTCTGAAAACCTTGCAGTATTTGATCTACAGAATGTATAGAAAAGATATGATAAGTATTTTTGATATCTATTTTGGATAGAATGCAATCTTTATATATTTGTTAATCTAGTAAATCACATGCTTTATATTTTCATATTTTGTGACAAAGTTCAGTTTGTCAATTCTGTTATTAATGCTGTTGTAAAGTGGGGAAGATAAGTAGAAGATTATCTAATAGGCTTGGAAATTTGTGTTTTTTTTTTTAACCAGAACATATAAATTAATTTAAAATGAGTTGCAAGATAGGTTATTAATATCAAATAGGCCAGATGCATTTGTTTGCTAACTCATTTGTGATGTATGCTATAAATACTTGGGGGCAATGTTTATTGAAGGGTGGTTGTCTTGAATGAGTCTGGATCATTCATCTTTAAAATTGAATCTAAAACCTTCTTTGATGTTATTAATAATATACTCAATAAATAAACAATTAGGATATGATTTTGTAAGAAACTAAAATGCTTGTAGATTGATTAGAATTTGAATATTAAAGTGTAAAGGATCTAACTGCTTCAGAAGACTCAGTTTATAATTAAACATTGGAGATTTTGGTAATGAAATAGTAATTATTATTTCATTAACAGATTGAAGAATTAGTGTTTTTTGTAAGGTAATGTTTCATGAAAGATTGAACTGGTCTTGATGTTTGAGAATTGCTGTATTCATTTGGACTATGGATTCTGATTAACGAACTAAATTAGTAAGTGTATATTGCTTTATTATCTGTATATATCTATATATATTGTAATGTTTAGACATTGTATTTGTATTATGTATTTATTATCTGTATTATTAATGCATTTTATTGTTATTATTGTTTAATTCTTGTATGTGTATGTATACATTTTTTTTTTTTATATATTTGATCTATATGTGTTGCATATTGTATTGCTACTAAAATATTTTCTATTTGGATGTGTTAGTTACTAAGTATATTATATATAACTACATGTTATGAGCTAATATATATATCTGTAGTATATGATTCTCATGTTGTAATATGTTAGTTAAAAAGAAAAAAAAATTTTTTTTAAGAATATCTGTACTATAATGTTATATAGTATAGTATATGGATATATATGTATATATGTATATGTTTTTTTTTTTTAGTTGAGTCTTTATTTGATAGAATTTTAGTTTAGATTTTAGTTATTTGATTGTCTGGATGATGAGTTTGTTGAGAAAACATCTATATAATGGGTGTTGGTTTTCTGCATATCATACAGATATGAACCTATTTGTAGTTGTTATTGTCAATGCACTCTTTATAATTTCAATTAATACAGATTTGCTTGTCATCATAATAGGTGATATCAGATCTGAAAGCAATTGATGTAATACTAGTACAGTGTCTTTTTATTATTGTAATATCAAAGTTGTTGTCTTCAGCTTCAATGTTCTGTTCAAGCAAGATGAAGTCTTGGTTCATAGTCAGACCTAATCTTCAGTCTTCATCATATATGATGACTGCTAAGAACTCTTGTCTGATGCATAACATATTAATATGATCACAATAGGTATTAAGTTCTTGTTTTCTAATATCATAAATTATTAAAACTGTCTCTATGTATGTTCTAAATGCCAAAAACCATTCAGATATATTATTGAATTTTTAAGTATAGTTTTGTTTATAAATGGTAATAATGCCTCCTTCAGATGTTTGCAATATTTGTTTATCTACATTGTTTTTAAGACTAGTTTTTAAATTTGTATAGGCAAACTCATTTAAGTCAATATAGTTGCTGACTTCTATAGTTTTCCACAAGTAAGTTGACAGACTTGGTTTAGTTGATAATATTTCAATAGACTTTTGATCTTCAGTCCAATTAAAAACTCACCAAAGACAAATACATTCCATACTGATAGCTTAAGAGTTGTTAAAACCATGTATTGGAGATAGTTCAGTGTTGCTGTAATTAATAGAAAGGTACTTTCATGTGATTATTTTTATTTTGAGTATTCCATTTAGTAGGAGAATGGTGAAAGAACTGTTACAGACTGGTTTGTGTATTGTATTTTGTAAACTGATGGAACTAATTATTAAGTTGTTAAGAAGAGGTATTAGAGAGCAATTACCTTGCTGATTTCTAGTATTGTTACTGCTATGTTTTTCATGTAGTTGGGTCTGTAACATGTTAAACTCATGATTATGTTGTAAAGTAGAGGGTTTTTCTTGTGAACTAGAACTGTCATGCTGTTGCAGACTAGTAGTGTCTTGATGATGAGTCTGCTGAATTTGGTTGAAACATAAGTCTAAATGTTCATTTAGTTTAACAATCATATTCTTGTGTGCCTCATTGTTTTGATCAATGTACAATTTTATTGCTGTAATTATTGTGTTTGATGATGCTTGGCATGCTGTGTCAATGTACACCTTTGTATTACTGTCAATTTTGGAAAAGTCGGTTTCAACTGATGTGCCACCTGCTGGACGTGCCTCTGTCTTGTCTGGGTTGACGCTGTTTTTTTTTTTTTTTAGCTGAAATTTGATAGAGGTTGAATTGGCTACGAATTAGAGTTCGTGTTTTGCTACGACTTGGAGCCTGTATTTATATAGTGATGTGTTCTATAGCATGACGTTACTGATAGTTACATTGATGAGTCGGTCCATTTGCTCGATGCCTCCCCTGATTCTGACACGTGATCTGATTGGGTCACGGCGGTCATGTGATAGCCGATAATAGGATATTGCTTAGTTTTTCGAATAGTTGACTCTGTGTCAACTTATAATAAAGTTACCCGTTCGAAGTTTCATATCAACGTTGATCCCATCGGGATCAATCCTTTATTTCAATGTGTATAAAGACTCAAAAAAATCATAAGTGTTACTATCATTTTCTACGCAAAAATTTACAATTTGTTTTTCTGATTAATATATAACTTAGCTTCCGATTCGTGTAACAGAGAAAAAAGAATCGAAGTTGCCTGACGAAACCGTTTCAGTGACGAAAGGCTTCGCCATTTTTCAGGCATCGTTAATGAGAATTAATATGTGCGATTATTATTGTAAGTATTAATGTTTTAGTTTTACATAATTAAATTTATTTAAATTACTTATTGTACGTATAGTTATTTGTCAGGTAAGTCTATTATACGGGCTTTCATGCAATCGACAATAATACCAGTAAGAAATCTTTGTCCAGTTATTATTAGATCAGTAACTTAATCCTTTAAATAAACAGAAAATCATCCTAATTAGTGCTAACCTAGTTAAAATTCAAATACTTCCTTCGGACAAACTTTTTTATTAAGTTAATTACAATTCTCAATCCAATAAATATTATCCTTCACGTTTCAGATTCTGGTATAAAATTCGCCCAATAATTCTTGTGATATTTACTCACAAATATGTCAAACTTAAAATTATGAACTAAACTTAAAATTATTGAATTTACTTGATTTGTCTAGCATTAATCATTATTCATTGATCCGAATAACCGTATATAAAAGATTATAATGCTAAACAAATATTTATTTATGGCTAAAAACATCTTTTATTTTGTTGTAATAAATTTATTATTTGAAATTTCTGAAAATTCTGTCAAAAATTATAACTCTAGAAAATGAATTGTATAGTTATCCTATTATTTTTTATTTTAAATTGTTCTTATCATAATTCATATGCACAAACATGCCTTTCCGGAACATCATAAATATCTCCTAGTAATAAAAGTATGTCACTCGACAACTTAGATGGGCCAGTTACCCAGAACGAAATTAATTTGTTCATTGGTTTTCTCGAACAACCTAACAGAATACCCACAACTGCGCTGGATAATGAAATAGCGGATAGGCAACCCGGTCAAGATGTAGAAGCTTTAGGTTTAGTGTATGAAATTACTCAAAACCATCAAATACTTGATAGAATGATAACTTATTCGGATATTTTTTTGTCACTTCGAAATGATCCCGTAAATGGACGAATAATGTGGACAGGACAAAGAGAGCTTGTCTGGTGTACAATACCTGATAATGGAACACTCTCTGGTTACGCCGGCTCCGAAGGTCTTGATATAACTGGGCATATAGCATACACTGCTTATCATATTCTTAAAACTCCTTGTCTCTGGGGCATAAATGTTACAGACAATGATCCCCATAAGTATGGTGCAACATATAAAGAGCGTGCGCTTACATATGTGACCGAAATGGACAAGACTATTGATACCTATTATTTAAAGTATTTCATTCGTGAAAATGATTCGAAAATTTATAATCCAAACTCTTCTGCATGGGATAATCTTGGTGAAATGTCTGCAAATTCTCCAATGCCTTGGAACAGACAGCAAATGATGACAAATGGATTTCTAAGAATGGCAGAATGCCATGAAATTATTGGAGATGATGCATCTCGTGTCAATAAATATTTTAATATTATACAAGTTTCTATTGATTGGATGGTCAAAAATTTTATCCCAGTTAAGACTAAGAATTGCCTAAACGCTTATAATTGGGCTTATTCCACGGTATCTAACTCTTCAGAAGATATTGATATTCATGCACTTTATGATATTTGGGGCATGTATCGCGCATGGCAACGAAAAGATAAATTAAATGTTAGCATTGATGTTATGATTAATCTTGCTAACACAATGATGTATATAATAAATATTGACAATAAAACATTTACAACAAGAGTGTGTGATACATATGATAATACATTCACAGCTAACTTATATGGACCTTGGGAATTTTACGCTGAATTTATCCCTGACTGGTATAAATTTGTTGTTAATGTAAATGTAAATAGAATAAAAACTGGCCCACAGTATATGGGCGCACTGCTTTGGGTAAAAAACTCGCTTATGGTTAATAACTCTCCTTCTGGTACTGAAAAACATAATTCTACTTACACTTCTACTAGCTCTCATATTCAGGCATTGTCTGGATATGAGACATGTAAATTGTTATTTTTAGTATTAGGTATAATTTTGTCTTATTTGTATTAGTTTGTAAATTTATTTCTTAATTTATCAAACCATACAAACTTATATAATCGGTTTTCATATCTCAGTCGGTCAGTAAAGCAGGAACCCAAAATATTTTATTTTTTAATATCTAAACCAATATAAATTCTCACGCGTATTATGTGACACGATTGAGTTGAGTTCTTATGAAATAGTAATAAGTTTAGTTCTAATTTTTTTGTATTGCTTTATTATAATATGAATGCTAATTAGTGACACTGTATAATGTGTAATCTACAGCCATAGTTTTTAGTTTCGGCCTGTACTATACTGATCTGGCTACTCGTACGTACCATATTGTTAGTGTCTAAAATTCAACATCAAGAACGTGGCCGGGTCGGGCCGCACATTATGTATAGATAGATCCTGGTGTGCTGCAGCGCACATAAATTTTTTTTTAAGAATGCGCAAAAAAACAATAGTTCCAAAAAATAATTAGCACAACAGTAAACTACCTCAGAATTACTAAAAAAGTTATAAACTATTTTACTGTTATATGACAATCTACAAAATGAGTCAATAATAAAACTTGATTTATATAGTGTAATATTATGCAAAACAAATGTTTGTTTAGTTTATACCTAAAAATATATACAAGAAAGTACCTTCTGTGCATTAATAAAAAAGTTTTTCTTGACCAATTTTACTATTAGAACTTCTAAATTCTAATTCTGACATAGACTCTTACCCTAACAAAATGAACTTTAAAAATTTTGTTGTATATCATGTAATAGTACCATTTTTCTGACAAGATACAACAGTACTTATTATTATGTAATAACCCTTGAATTATTACTAGAGTGTCCAGAATTCATTGTTAATATGCATGCAACAAACTTAAAATTATGTAAATTATGTGAACCTAGGAATTAGCTTAAAAAAATTTACACTGATTAATCAAATTTTAATATCAGTAATGTAAGATAGATGTTTATATAGTATTCTAAAATATAGATTATGAAACCATCTTTTACGTATTATAGAAAAATTCTAAAGGTACAAAATCTTTAGAAATATTTTGTGTGTAATTCTACATATGTCAAAAAAATTATAAGCATGAATGTAGTTTGTATATAATTGTTATACCAATGCTTTAAAAAGTTTGAATGGTATAATCTATAACTTTACTAAATTCGGTGCTATTGATTTTTGAAAATGCACTAGGTAAACGATAGTTTGACTAGCATAATTTATATGATCCTACCCAAAATTGGTCAGCGTTAAGGCTGACTTGATAACAAGATTCTGTGTAACATAGTCTGTGTAATGCCAATTGACCAATAAAAAATTCTTTAAATGTGAGAATGCTAAATTATTTGAATTTTCTTCTTATTTTATGTGCCATAAGTTGAATTATGCGGATATTATGCCGGATCATAATCCAATTATTACTGCACTTCTTGCATTTACAATACATAATCCAAATAATTTATCTATTTAATCCAACTATTATTGGATTCAAATATCTGATGAATAAATAGATAAACGGTTTATAGGTTAGAACTCTACAAACAAATAAATGCTTTATTATTTTTCAGAATGGTATAGACATTAATTCCGATTTACTTTATTTTTTATTTATTGTTGGGTTCGGAAGATTGTGACTCGGTCGCTCCACAATTCAACTTATTGTGTAACGTACAATAGGTAACCTTTTCGAAAGAGGGTGTTAGATTTGGCTGGTAGGTGATTAAGGCTTTCGGTTACTTGGATTTAACAAAGGTCAGTAGGGCAAGTCACGTGAACAAGAACTTGAACGAACGATAATGTTTATGGGGGTTTACAGGGTTTATACAGGGTATAGTGTTAGGGTTTTATTATGGACGATTCAATGTATTTGGGACTTGTTATTTAATAAAGCAAACGAGACATATCGTCCCTTAGGGCCATTTTGGCCTTTATTTATATTATCTTTCTAGCTATGACTTATTTAATTACATAAATCTCATTCCTCCATTTTCTTTACTTAATTCGATCTCTCTAATTTATCCACCTAAACCCTTATACTTAATAAATTCCCCTTCACTATTAAATCCCTTTTCTTGATATATTTAATTAATCGATTAATCACCGGGATATCCATAACAAGGAATTGATCGTCATACCCGCTCTCACATGAGGTCCTGGCAAAGCATTTTCATCACGTTATTGGGTCTAACATTATATATACTTACTGATCATAGACTAATAATATAAATATCAAATCATGTGTCTTGTTGTAAGAAGAAATTTCAATAGACAAGCTATATAAATCATTTTGGCTATCTTTTTGATTATTTCTTTTTTTTCTTTACACTCTCTGGTATGATTTCAACTTCAGATTTATGTATATTTTTATCTCCATTTGATTTTTAATCGACTTGAATGTCTTTAGAACATCTTTCTGTAATAACAAATTAAGCATTATTAGTGTCATATTAGAAGCTTTTGTGAGCGGTCAACATCGATTTATTACCTGAAAGTTCATAAGAATTGTCATATCCATAGCAAATTGATCCATATCATCAAAAGTGTTCGGAAGTCTGATACTTGCAAATTCATTATAGAGATATATTGATGGAAGTGGTCGTACCATGTATCGTATACGAATTTCTCCATCTTCAAAAAAAAAATTATGTAAAAACTAAATAACATGTAACCAAGAGCTTTTTATATGTTGTGATACTCACTCACGCATTGAATTGTGTACACATGCGCCTTATTATCCGGAACAGTATCGAGTAGTTTGTTTAAGATTCGCATTGCATTACGGCCAAGTTTTACCTTATCATAACATCTTTGGTACCAGGAGATTTTATACCTCTTGAGAATTCAGTAATTCCTATTATCTAATGATTTTCTTTTTTTATCTTAAGAACTTTCAAAACACCATCTATATTTCAGTTCTTTGTAACTGTAATAAGTATTTCTATTCTAAATCAAATAAAAAAATTAAAATATAATAATATATTATTGGACATTCATAATTGACACCTACCAATTCCAATCTAGCACATCTTGATGCATTTTGAAGAGTCTGTTCATGATGTATATAGTTGTATTAATAGAAAATGTTTTTTCAAGGCTTGTTGCATTTAATTCTGAGTTTGTTAGAGCTTCCAAATGTTCAGAACTATTCATAATTGAATTATTAACTTCACATAAACAATTATATAAACAAGAATATGTAAGTATATGCTATATACAAATGTGTCATTATATGCTGTGCAATGTCATGTCCTTCATGAAGGAAGGGGTCAAACCAACCCACAATATAAGAATTTCGCACAAAAGAGAGGATTTGGACTCAATCACATTTATTTTTTGTAAACTGATTACAATAATTCTTGAACATAGCAGTTTGATCTTATGCTTGCTTTTCTAATATTCGATCAAATCATAATTGTTGTTCTTCATCCAACTTAGACCATACACTTTGTTTTACATCAGCATCTGTAATGTCCATAATTCTGTTCAAAAAATTTGAATTCATAATCGTTTTGCCTGACTCAAGATCTTTTGATCGGTATTGAAAAAGTATTTCAAGTAAAGTATTTCGAATTAACGCATTTTTGGAGTTCAGATTCCTCACTTCCTAGAATATTGAATAACAAAGAATGCGTTTGTTATACGAAGAATAAAACAAAAGACAAATTACCTCATGATCAGTGAAATAGCAATTGCTTACTTCCTGAGAGATTGAATAACTGTGAGTAAATTTATTATACATAAAATATGATAAAAAGAAGTCAAATCACCTCATAATCAATGAAATAATAATCATCATCTAAGAATTCCATCTCATCTTTTGTTATAGATACTGTTTGAGGTTTGATTTTTTCACGTCTAATTTGTCCTTGTAGTCGTATCCATTTTTCTCTCATAACTTAATTCTGGTTAGACTAAGCAATTTTTTATGTAGTCATTGATGTTAAAAAGACTTACATGACATTTTAATTTTTTTTCTCACGCTAAACATTAATGACAACTATAATACCTCAACCCTTGGAGAACCGAAAGACGGGCGTATCTGATCTTCAGGTGTGCTTTGACGATTCGTCCTTGTCTGCTTTATTTGATTCGCTTCTATTTTATGTTCAAAACCGTCCTTAAGTATTAAACAAAATAATCAGATTTGCTGATTCACAACCTATAAAAAAAATATACATATATACCTCTTCAAATTCCCTTTTCAATTCAGAAACTGATGTTCCACCGATTACAGTTCCATTGTTAGTCTCATAGTTTACAGCTCTATTGTTGGTCGATTAATGTAAATTTGCCTACGTACACGCTCGTTCTCCCACTTTCGTGCTAGTTCATAATCTGGTCAAGATCCCTTGTGACATAAGTTATAATGCTTAGTAATATCTTAGTAATATTCTTAACTATCAAATCTTAATTTTCTATCTCGTCAGAGCATCAGCCAAACTCAAAGATTGCCTGTGCCCAACGAGTCCAGCACTGGCTCGACTCAAAGACCTGAAACATCAGGCAAACTCGAAGATCACCTGTGCCTCCAGTGCTGGTTTTGTGGCCCGACTCAAAGACCTGAATGGTAGAACAACTCAAAGATCTCCTACCACGCCACTTATTCTTCACATTTATTCAGTATTAAAAATTAATACTTGCCTTCTTATATTTATCGAAGAGAATCTGCGCCTTTTCATGCCTTGGACCTGTTTCTGTCATAATAATCGCTTCTAAAGAAGAAAGATAGTATTCTATTATTTGCCGAAATGACTCCAGCTCACATTCATTAAGGAAGCCAGTAATGTTCCACTCTTGTGCTCTTTGTTCGAAATATTTGTGTACCTGTGTTTGGAAATGAAAGTAAATGTTGTATACGTAGAATCACAAAGTGCAAAATCTATCAATATTAAACTACTGTACTCTTTTGGGCATGGTTATTCGACTTTAAGTGAAAAAAGTTTTTTGCTAAAAAACTCAGATACATGATGTGTTCTCACGTAACTGTGAAAACATTATAACAAGATGTTTGTCGAAATATTACACGTGTTGTAAAGTTAAAATCGCGAGTTAATTGACCGACTTTGGCGTATCTTTGCACGTGAACAAATTATAGAACATTTAATTTAATTATTCGAGGTTCTCTTTTAAAAATTATCACATAAGTAGCTGCGCAACGCAATTGCCTAAAACCAGGAACTGGGGAAATCTATGCAGACATCATTTCAATCACTGGTAAACCATATTCTACATTGCAATCCGTTCCTGGTATAAGAAAATGATCCTTTATAAAAGAAGTTGCAATCTGAATATTGGTCTGAATTGGACAATTGTAAATGCTGTCTCTAATTGGACAATGTAGACCACGCCTACCAATTAAATTATAAGATCAGGTGTAATATAAAATTTTAGCATAATATTTGACCTATTAGACATTTATACCGTTTCAACGACATATCCATTATTTGAATATTTTTGTTTCGTCCAATAGGAACTATGGGGGAAAAATTAGTAAACCCGAATTTCAGTGACTGAGCCTAAAAACCTATTATGAAGTCAATGTCTGACTGATAATTTTGCAAAAACAAAGAGCTGCTTGATACGTAGTATCGGAGCAGCTTTTGTCTCGAATCATGTGATACCTGATCGAACATGTGATAGGCCCGATTACGGCGGACAATCTACGGACAGTTCTTAGGGACAGTTAGGGTTAGCGTTAGTGGTTTTAGTAGTATCACGTGAATAGCACTGTCGTAAGCGATTACGGTCACATGTTCGATCGACGGTCGATATAGCGAACGAAAGTATGAGGTATTTTGGGTAATTAGTAATGTGGTCACTGATTAGGTATTTTGAGTGATTAATAATGTGGTAATGAATGTATTTAGTAAGTATGAGGTAATTTAAGTAATTGGTAATGCTTTTGTAAGTATGGGTAATTATGAGGTAATTGGATTGTAGCATATTAGGAAAGTATTGATGGGTAATTTTGTCTTTTTGCGAACCCGACTTTCGTTCTGGTTATATCGACCCACCCACCCTTCCCGGGAGTTAAGCATTGTTAAGTAAATTGGCCTGTTGGGACGGCAGTCATGTTGGAAATGGGCAAGGACGGGTAGGTTTTTTTAGGAATTTTTGTATTGCGACCTGCTCGGACGACAGTCGCAATAGTAATAAGTCTTAATGAGAAAGCTTATATTAGCCAGCCGATACTCGTAAGACTGCGTAGGTTGCTCGAGGGTGGAAGAGGCATACCCGTTATTGTTCTTTATAGTTATAGGTACAGTACTGTATACACAAATCGGCAATCGATTAGTTGGTCATTATTTTTTCAGCTGGTGCAACTAATCGATTAGTTGATTAATCGATTAGTTGGTGTCTAAAAAGTTCAGTCGATTAGTTGTCAACTAACCAACTAATCGATTAATTTCGATTTCGATTTGTATCACTATTGTAAACCGTACCCTACGTATTTCATGCTCCGTTCCTGGTATTCACATCGCCTATATATTCTATCAGTTAATTTTTTGTATTCGTCACAAACCTTACATCCATGTTTCCACCCTCTAAAGGTATGCCACTTTTCGATATAACTTTTTTTCTTTCTTTAAAAATTTAAACATACAAATACGGTGTCAGGGATAATATTACCAATAAAGATGCAAGATCTCATCTTAATATCAAAAAAAGAACACTTTATTTTTATTTTTAAATTTGCCAAATAAATTCTAAAATAACAAAAATAATACATTTCATAAATAATTAAGTATTTCAAATACTTCAAATTCTTCTATATCGAAGTAACCAGGAGAATCTCTAATTGGTTTTTGATAATATTTTTGTACACATGACCATTTACCATGTACAAAATTATTGAAGACCAAAGAAAGATCATAACCACCGAAAGATGGACCAACATTCTTATTATAAAAAATTGCTTTTTTTGGCTCGATAACTCGGCTAAATTTAGAATTTCCGTCCTTAAAAGAAAAAATAAAACTATCTGCTGTTTTTGCAAATTTGCCAAATTTTCCAAATTTTGGTTTTTTCCATTTAAGAGGATTATATCCACCAAGAATTTCATTTGTTCCTTTAACCTTCAAAACCACCACCGTATTAGATATCTTATTACATTTTTTATAAAATTCACTAATAGAGAATTCATCTTGAGTGCTTTTAAAAATCCTTGTAAACTTATTTGAAATCTTGGTCACATCATATAGTTTAAAATCGATTCGTGAAACAATTTCTGTAGCTTGTTCTTTGCTTAAAATTGATTGAACGAATTCTTTAGTCTCTTCAGTTACTGTACCAATTTCTGCATCATGCTTTATGCTTAAAATTTGTTGATCGGTGCCTTTAGTCTTTTCAATTTCTGTAGCAATTTCGTTCAATTGACTTAATGCAAACGTTAATTCTGGCCGTTGAGCTGGATCTTTATCCCAACATTTTTTATAAAGGCCAACATATTTATGAGGTGTCTCTTCTATAGGGCACTCCCTAATTCCTTTTAGTATCTCATCTACAATTACACGGTTACTACGTCTATAAAATGGAGGTCTGCCACTAGAAATTTCCCAAAGAATTACACCAAAGCTATAAATATCGGATTTTTCATTACGTTCGTATGTTGGATTTTCAAGATATTTAAAACAATTGGGCTCTATGTATGCAGGCATTCCAAGAAGATCTGAAATTTGTGGTTCATTTACATTTTTTGATAATCCAAAGTCTGCGATTAATGCATTTCCTTGGTGAATCAGAATATTTTTAGAGTGCTAAGTATAATAGTATATTTGAATAAATTTACAACATACTTTAAAATTAAAAAGAACGATATTTAACAATAAGGTTCCGTATTATTTCACCGACAATTATTTCACCAACTAGTCATTGAACTGGCATCACATAACGTGACAATTTATTATTAACGTATTTTAGGGTTGGAACTTATAATAAAAAAGCATATGGGTCGTCTGCTAGGAAAATCACTTGCTTTCAAATAGTGATTTTCCTAATGATATGATAAATTTCACCACAAGTGATGTTTGTTAAATGGCTAGTCGATGAAATGACCGTCGACGAAATGATCGGCACAAGAACTTACAAGATCTCTGTGAATGATGTGATGATAATGTAAAGCTTTCAATCCCTGAGCTATTCCTGTTGCAATTTTTAATTTTTTAAGCCAATTTAATTTCGAAAAATTGTTCTTTAAATAATCTCGCAAATTTCCGTCATCTGCAAAGTGTAAAATCATATTATAATGTCCGGTTTTATCTATTTATTGAATAATAATAAAGTCGTTACATAATATTTACTATTGGATTTTTTAACTACCAATACTTTAGAATAAGAGCATAATTTGGGTTGCCACATACCTTTAGTTATCCCATAAAAGCTAACAATATTCGGGAAATTGCTAACTTTTTGCAGATGTTGAAGCTGTATAGTAGTGAAAATTAGACTTATGAAATTTAAACAATTCGATTACAATAATTAAAATACCTCTTTAACAAATTTTACGATATATTTATCTTCCAAGCCATCAACATTTTTTAGACATTTAAGGGCAACAGTTAAATTCAACTTTTTCCATTCAGATTTCGATATCCACCCAAATGCACCCTCATCAAACCTTTGAGGGTTAATGAATTCATCGAATTCATAGTTGTTAATGAATTTATCTTTAACTGCATTTCCGAGCCACTTATTTAGGTTGATTAGAGACTCACTCATAATAGTTTATTATAATAATTCACAGTATTTACAAGCTCAAAACTTAATTTAATCGTGTTGCAGTATTTTGATTTTAAGTTCAGTAATTGAAGCAAATAAAGTGTTTGTGTTGTGTAGCTAACCATTAGAAGTACATCCATTTATTTTCGCGAGTAATACAAGGAAACAGCCAATCAACAAATTCAACCTTTGATATTCCCTCGACTTAGTTTTGAGGCTTGCCATTTGGCCTTTCTATTTAGAGGTTCGTTGCAAAGACCTTGTGATTCAAAGCATTGCATATTTTTTAAACGATCAAATGAACTGATATATTTAGTACTTGTGTAATACAGTTAAATCTCATCATTTGAAAAAGTATACATATATAGATGAACAATAAACATTATAGTTTTTTCAAGGTATGACCAAACTATACTGTGCATTTAGATAAAATTTATATAGTAAAAGATTTTTAAAATTAAAAGTGGTCTAGGTGCTGGGAAAAGGGTCGAATTTGACAAAATAATACAAATTTATTTTTTGATCATTTTAATTCTAAAAATTGATAGAATTGAAATTTTATTTCACGAAACTGGGTTTCTAGATCTCTCATTGTGTTTCCTCATAACTAAAACTCGAAATTTTAACATACTCATGCACTATTTTGATTCAAGCGATAAAACAAATTCATGGAGTATCATAAAGATAACTCCTACATTGACAGAACTTTCGCTATTATCTCATCATGGTTTCTCGCTATAAGCCTGGCTCTCACTGTCTATTCATTTTCTTTAATGATATCAAAGCTTAGCGTTAATAAAGATATTATCATTATCATTGTTGTTAATGTGGCTGTATTTCTTCATGAAATAATCGCGCCTTTCCAATTAATAGCAAGTTCGAACTGCTCAGAAGCTCAAATCTCGAACCAGACTTGTGCAGATGCAGTAAGCTTTACAAGGTGTTCAAATAACGAGCCGTCTATCGAATGGTTCTATGTATTTAATATTATAAAGACTTTCTGTTATTTAATTATCAAGCCTAGCTTGCTGTATCTTGCATATAGGCGATGTGCTTTAGTCATAGTTGAATTGGATACACCCGGATGTTCCTTATTCCATTGCTGTATTATTCTACTCCGCTTTTTGTGTTGGACGGCTTGGTTTATCGTTAGCATTCTGAACAAAATTAATTGTCAGGGATCATATTGCGATTCCAAATGCAAATTCATACCAACAACTTATGTCATAAATGATATAATGTCAGTCATCTTCCGATCTTATTACATTACAATTGAGTTCATCTTTTATAGAAAGCTATTTAATATAGGTGATAGATTTGATCAAGATAAAGATAGAAAAGAGATACTCCAAGATATTTGTTGGCAAAAAGTTTTATTTGCTTTTGATATGTTGCAGCTTTGTTCGATGTGCATTTATCGAATAGTAGGACTTAAAATTGAAGAAACACCAACTTATATTTACGCCGAACTATGCAGTACGGCATTTACTGTCTTCGTAATGACGAGGTTTTGGCATATGATTTCTCGTCTGCAACAAGCAAAGAGGTAATTTTCTTTAAAGGTTTAATAATATGAATGTTTTCATATTGAAACCAAAATTATTCAAGTGATTTTATTAGTGGCAAATTTCATTATTAATTTTATTAATTTATCTATTGATTTTATTTTTTTCAAATTATTTCCGGAGCAGAGTGGACTCAAGTCCAGACAATAGGTAGAGATATTGGGTTCCGTATGGGTTCCAGGGAGTTAAATTAAGATAAAAAGTTATTTCAGATTTCAGATATTCAAATAAATCATATTAGTTATTTAGTGATGTATGATATAAATTTAACCCTAGCCATGGCGAAAACGAAGTGTCTGGTCATGTGCCTTCCGATAAAATTTTGACATTTGTGCAAAACTTACGTTTTTGAGACTCCTGCACTTACTTTTTTGATACTCCTAGATGTACCCTAAAATCTTATTACTTTT